ATCAATAGAGAGTTAACACAGCTGAATGAGATTTGTTTGCTCTTCTGGCTCGGTTTGCTCTCTGTTAGCTTCATTTTGCCTCTCCACGTTTGTTCCAAGCTCCTCTTACTCTTCCGAACTCTGCCTGACTTTCCACCCTCTGCGTGTATTGTTGTGTTCTTGGTCTCCGCTCTACTTACACTGCACTTTGTTCTTTCCATGTCTTTGTTTCTTCACATACTCTTCTTCAGTCCCCTGCTTCTCCACCTGTGACAACTGCAGATGATTTAGGAGAAGATTTCTATGCTGTGAATGTGTTTGTATTATTGCTTTCAATTTCACTGTCACCTTACCTCAGAGAGGCCCTGCCCTCCATTCCAGGCCTCTCCACAGCCCAGAAAAGTCAACAAAGGTTGAGGCTGTTTCAGCTGCTTGGAAAAACTGCTGTCAGCAGGGCCAGAGTGGTGCTTTAACCATATAATTGGGAATACAGATAACGCACATGTAGCTCCATGAGCACTGTCAAAGTTCGCTCATTCAGTAAAAAGTGGAGAGTAACTCCTGGCAAAACCAGGAGGGAGAGGTGTCTGACTCCTACCTCCCCTTCTTTGTCCCTCTTCAGGACTTACCATAGGAAGTGTGCAGGGAGGAAGAGGGAAGAACAGGGAGAGAAATGTAGACAGTAAAATGTCTTTCAAGTTATGTATTACACAATCCTAGGTTAGGAAGTAGATCAAGTCCCCTCAGTTCATCCACCTGCACAGGTCATTCCCTGCTTTTGTTCTTTACACTATCCTTATATTCTTCTATCCTCGCCTTTCTGTTTACTGTCTGCAAACTGCAGAAAACAAAAGGCCATTAATTCTGTCACCATCCAATCTTACAAACCCACCAATGTGGGTGGCGGGAAGCAGTCCACAACACTCAAAAATATAACAGGAGAGTTCTGTTCGGGAAGGCCACTACTAGCAAGGCAGCGTCCCCTTTAAGGGAGGCAGCTACTACCAAATTCACTGCTAAACTGCCACCCACATTCTGGAAGTCAGGCTTGGCTTGGTGGGTTCTGCCACTAGCAAGAAGCTGGCAGCATGAGCTGCTGTGAAAACAGAGCGAAGGTTCATTATCCTGCATGGTTTGGGAGAAGGATGGAAACTCCTCTGAACGATTATCTTAGTAGACTAGAGATTTGTTTTACCTTTGCCTGTGTTGCCATCATGAAAATGAAGTATTCAGAATTTACAGATTACTCAAAAAAGGATACTTGAAGGGATGTCTTAAATGTTTTTTCAGTGTTCTGAAGTACACAAGTGTTTTCAGTGTACTTTGTAGCTAGCTAAGGACCTTCATCCATGTCATTTGAGACCAACAGGGAAAATGAGATTTATTCTAGCTTAAACCCACAGTTTTTCAGGATTTCCTCTCTCTGCTGAGGTAGCGATGATCATTTTTCCATAAGTATGTAATATGTATTTATATACAATAGCCCAGATAATACATTAAGGTAATATTTTACCTATGCAATATGTTAAACAAAAAAAGCTCCCGAAAAATAGGCAGTTATATTTTTCAGGCACTGTCCCTTTTTAAAAACTATTTCGAACAATACCAGCTACACCCACTCCCAAAAGGAACAAAGATTTTAAAACCACCAACCCACGTTTTATGAAGTTGCCATGTCCCTCATTTGCCAGGGATGGGTAAATACTACCCAAAGCAGAGCAGGTAACTACCAAGTACACCCAAGACAGAAATGCAGCAACACATGAGAAAGATGACAGCTGCTTTAGTGGATAGCTGATACTGACCTTAGAAATGTCCCCAAGCCTGTTCCATAAACAAAACCCACCCAAACCAACTGCTGTCATTGGAGCCCTTTACCAGCAGTGAGTTCACTTGCACGGTGCTCCTGTGATACAGAGATTACACAGGTTTACTGAAACACAACTGTCAAGTACAGTCCAGTGTTCAGCCAGGAAATCAGAACAGAATCTGGATGTTAATCCATTGCCTTAACCATTATAAAAGCCTTTCTTCCTTAACAAAGGATGAGTTCCATTTATCTTCTCTTTCACGGTGTTAAGAAAAAGTTAGAATTTCGTATTTGTTTTGTAGTCATGGTACAGCGTGTTCAATGTACTGTGCTGTATTTTTAAGATTTTTTTAAAAATAAAAGTGTTTTCCAGCTGTGTGGTTTTCTCTTATGCATTTACTCTTTTCAGAGCAGCAGAAGATACGACGAGGAGCCAAGCTAACTGGGTACGTTTATGTCCCAAGGTTTTCTCCCTTGCTGCAGATTTAAGAAACGCCAACTGTGCATTAGCTGTGGTTACTCCAAAACAGGCTGTCCCCTCTCAAAAGCACCTCCCTGAAGGAACTTGCCTTTCCAGTTCTCCCCTCCTGACAGATCCGAACCACCACAAAGCCAAATTTGTGAGGTCTGGCAGTTACACACATGTGAACAACAAAACAAAACTATGATCTCTCCCTGTCATTGCTTTTGTATACATACAAATTAAGCATTTGAAATAGTAAAAATGTAACTGCCCTACACCCAAGATAAACACAAATTCCAGACAATGTGCCACTGTATAGGGCAGGTGCAATAGTGCAAATATCAGGAAAAGAAACTGGAAGTGCTTTCATACAGGCTGACATGACCTGGACTTAGCAGCCTCTACCTCAAAACTACCAGGCAGCAAAAGGAATCCAATTCTGACTTTCACTCATGATGTCCTGCACACTTCTGTATCGGCCTGTTCATGATGCACACTGGTGTGCATCCCTCACATCCTCCTCACCCCATTCAGGGAAACTGTGCCTGCAGTCAGGTTTTATCACGAAACGGGTTTTAACTCTGTGCAAAAGTAGTTCCCAGGCTCTAGCAAAAGGTAATTATTGCATAAAATAATGATATATTATTTTCTGCAATGATAATTACCAAATACAGTTCAAGTGGTTATGTTCACTGCTGGCACCATAATAAAAGCAAATGCAGTAAAAGTTCAGACTGATACTATTAAATACATTATGGATATTTTATATTTCTTACCACAGATTTTACAGTTTCACAAATATCAAAACCCAGGTGTACATGTCCATTTTGCAACATAGAATGACTATACAATTCCAAAAAGAGCAGGCATTTCAAAGACACGATTCTGAAGTGTAAACACGGTGTACAAGCTCTTCGCCTCACAATCCAGGTGCTATGCGGTAGCAGCTGAGGTAACGCCGTACAGCATGAACTCAACAAATGGTTGGTTTGCCTCAAGATGGTTTTTAGCATCCTTCTGTCCTGTCACCTGTTCAGTCTGTAGCTCTCCCCCAAGTTATACAAACATACAATAAATACATTTCTGATTTTAAAGGACACTTAGACGAGTCATGAGGATTTATGTGAGTACAGTACATTTAAGTTCAAGTGCAAAAAAAGTAACTAGTGGCTAGTCATTGATGTTTCTTTTTGTAGTCTATGGTGTTGGTCCCAGGCACCACCAGAACATGGGTTGTTGTAAAAGCACAGCTAAAGCACAGTTACAGGACACCCCTTCAGTCAAGCTAACTGGATGTCAAAATGGGTAAAACTGTGCACCCCCTTTCCTGCTTAGCTGCTGCCATCTTCCTCTCCCCTAACCCTGTTCTCCTGTTGGTCTTGCTCTGGATCACTGTACAGTCCCACAGCACACACCTTCCCCACGGAAGGCCCAACACATCACGTACATCTGATTTCGAGGAGGGCTGAGCAATACTCAGTCCTGTAAAAAGTCCCGAGTGCTCAGAATCTCCCAGGAACAAGCTGTTAATATAAGCAAATAGGCCAAACCACTGTCCTGACCCCCTCTCCCGCCTCCTCCTTGAGCCCAAGGATATCCCTCCAAGCAGCAATTTTTACTGTGCACCAGCAAGTGAGCCAGCTGCAATTAATAGTAAAAAGCGTAACAAAACATAATCCGAAGTCTTCCAGTGTCATGACATTGGGCAAAGTAATTTCCTAAACATACTGCAATTTAGTTAAGTTTGCTTCCTCCTGAGAATTTTTCTCTCTACTCGATTCCTGCCTCAACAGCTTTGCCCCTATAATCCTAATCACTAAGATTTTTAGGTGATTCCTCCCTACCCCTCACCTTCCCTAGGCACTTAAAGCTTACTGTTTTCTTAATAAATAACCACAGTAACTACACTGCATTAAATAAACCATTGTATAGATGTTGAAATAAAACAAAAAACCCAACAAAACAAAAAGACAGTGTGTCCATTTAAACCCTTGATCAATCTCAGGTTGTGCAATCTTGATCAAAGATTCTTGTCTCAGTACAACATCAAACCTAAAATTACCCAAACACACACAACCTACACGCACCTGAAGGGCTGCAAGCACAGAGGTTAACTTCTTCAGAAGCCTTCCTCCAGCTTTTCTGTTTCGCTAAAACGCCTGTTCAAAATTTTTGCTTTGCAGAACTAAACCCTTATCTCAAACAAGATAGCATAGCTTCAAATACATATTCTTCGAATATGCGTGTGTTTTACTTAATCCATGAAGATACGCTTGTTAAAGCTACTCTGTTGCTGAGAAATCTTTACAGAGACAGTTTCATGCTGTTCCTATATTTATTGGATCTTATATTTTCTAATAGACGATGCAGGGAAACTCATTTTCTCTCCTAAGAAGTCTTCTAATTTTGTCTTGGGAACAAATTCAAACAAGAAAATTACCCAATCAAGTCACTCTGTACCTCAACAAGTGAGGCGTGAACTCCATTTTCCTACAGACTGCAAAGAGATCTCATAGCACTTGACTCAGCTTTAGCAAAGCGGCCAAGAATCCTTCCTGCCTTTAGATCTGGCCACATCACTTCCCTCAAGAATTCCGAACTTTTAGCTTCCCTGCTCATGTTGCTCTGTGTAGTCATATGAATATTCTTTATATAGTTAAAAGCTTGCACTGCATCACATTATGATCGTTAAGATGAAGGAAGTCCTACTTTTGAGCTCCTACTCCAGCGTTTCCCAGGTGAGAAGCAGAATTCCATGCACTGGATTTGATAAGATGAGCGCGTCTCAGGGCCCTGCCGCAGCAGGCTGAGCATCATGATCCGACACAACGGGGTCGCCATCTACTTGGGAATCTGATGTTGCTGTAGGTGTTGGTGCTGAACAATTTCTGGACTGCCCAGAATCTGTTGGATTTTGGGCCTGTCTTGCTGAGCTGGCTGATGAAGCACTGCAGTCCTCATTGATTTTCTAAAGAGAGGGAAAAGGATTGCATGCAAAAAGTAAGTGTAAGCACTCATGACGCTGTCCCCAGTGGTACACCCCCAGATGCATTCAGGCACTTCTGGAAACTCACAAAGCACTTACTTTGAATGCCCGCAACATAACAAATCAAACTTAAAGAAGCAAAGCAAAAGTAGTACATTTAAATCCAGATGACACTAATAACAAGCAGACAGTAGCTTACCTTCCATCTCTTTTCCTAACTGCACTTTCCCAAGAAGCATGCAAAAAACAAACTTGTTGTGTTTCAAGGGGAAAAAAAACACAATTAACTGGACTTCAAAGTGTTCAGACAAGATCATTCTTTTGACCAAATCATTCTATGATTTTTTGTCATGCTCCTCAAATATAGCTCTCCTGAATTGTACCCTCCCTCCCCAAGATCCTGCTCAGACTTTCTGAATGGCAGAACTTCTGCAGTACTGATGTTCAGTTCCATCTGGTCTACTCAAACAGGCCTCACTAAGGAACATAAGAGCACACTGAAACACTGGTTATGTTCAGAACCAGCGCTGAAACAGCGAGCCTTCACACTAATGCACTTCACATTAGAAGATGACATGCTATCTATGATTATAAAAATCATTTTTGTCACTAATTCCATTTCCTGTGCACTGACCCTCCTTCCAAATGATCTATTTTCATTTTAAGGAGGCTATGGAACAAATTTATTAAGAGAGCTGGGCAGCCTTTTTCTGGTTTCATTATTTTAATATCACCAGCCAAAAATGAACAACTGAGCACAAAACCTGAAATGTTTTGGAGCAGGTTTGTCCTCTTGGGGCACTGAAACAGGGATAAGAAATTTTGGAGAATACAGATGATGAAGAAAATAATACAATAGGGTGCATTGAGTTTTGGCACATCAACAAGAACTACTTTTATATCAGCACTGTGTTTTTACAAGAAGGAAAGGATAATGAAGAGATCATGTGCCACAGAGAACAGGCACGAAAGCCTTGCTGGCCTCTTCACGGTTCTCAGTGAGGTGGCTGGGTCGTGTCCAGCAGTGCTGGACAAGTCCCTCTCAAACACCACAACACTGCAAAACATTCTTTTCTTGCCATGCTTATTGCACAAATTCTGTGTGACTGCTCTTCTCTGATTTAAAAAGGGACAGTTTACACTAACCAAGACTCTGAGGACATTTACCAATGGGAAACAGAGCGGTGTGTCAGGACAAATTACTCTGTGTCAGAGACTGTATCTTCAGTGGCACTACAAAAGAGAACATGTTCTTTGACTCAGGGAGGTTCAAAACCAAACAAAAAACCCAACCAACCTAAAGCAGAGATGCCTGTAATATATTTTCAGGAATAAACACAAATAAGGCAGGCAGGAGATCGCTGACCAGGTGAAATTCCTACACACTCTGCTCTGCTGATTCACACTCGTATCCCAAACTACCCATTTCTAAAGACAACAGTTACGGAAAAAGCGTTTCTGTGTTTACGCCTACCATGTGCATAAGAAGGAACCTCACTCACTCCTGCCAGACAGGTAAACACAGTGGTTGTAACGTGAACCATGCTGTTGCTCTGAAACTCGCACTGACAGCATTTCCCTGCTTTGTTAAGCTCCATTCTGAAGGGCATATTCAAAGCATTAGAAGGTAGTTCAAGGTCCAAGCCCACCCAATCATGGATGAAGCTATTAAAAGGTATTCTGAGGGGAGACTGGACAGAAAGGAAATGGTGGAAAGTAAGCACCAGCAATCAGACGTTGTAAGTCACAGAATGGCTCTTATCTGGGGTAACTCTAGATTTTCAAAAAGATACTAACTTTGTTTGAACAGAGGGCTCTGTATTCCACCAGTACTTGTCTGGAGCACCTATGTGTGTGACCTGGTAGACATCTGACAGCACCACCCAAGGAAGCAAAACTAAATAAAAATCACTTTACACTCTCTTAAGCAGCTGTGCATCTTCATGTTCACTTACCACCTTATGAATTTTGCAAAATGCATAATCTGCACATTCCAACTACTGTGAAAACAAATGGAAATTTAAGGGGAATTTCAGTGCATCCAAGCTTGTAAAACACAGTCTCTTTCTATGTCTCTCCCTCTCCTCTCATCTTCAGGAAGATAATACTTGCAAAAATAGCTATTCCTGCTGTACTATACATAGAAAACAACTCTATTTCATGCAGTATTCCAACTACCACGTCACAGCTCCAAATTTACTACAAGCTGATGGAGAATACCTACCAGGTACTAACAGATTTACACAGCTGTAAAGGTTTTCAAGTATCTAATAAAGACAAGAACTTCCTGTACATTAGAAGGTTACCTGCAAAGGCTGATTCTCGGGAGTTGGATTGGTTTTGGAGAGTTTAACCATCTCTTTTATCTGGTAGACAGCATAAGCCAAGGTGACCCAAGGAGAAGAGCTGATGCCCCAGGCAGGTTTGTTCACATCCTCTTGCTCTTCTTGGTGTTTAGTTTTCTTTTGAGGAAGCCTGGGCTCAGTCCGAGGCATGGTATCTTCCGACTGCTGCTGCACAAGGTCAATAGTTGCTATGGGAACAGGACTGGAAGGCACTGGGATCCTTTCCGCCAGCATTGTCTTTTCTAAAGTTTAAAAACAAAGCAGTCACTCGAAAAGCCAACGGACTTTTAAAAAGTGAAGCAGACAATGGACTCTAAGTGTTTCTTGCTTGCTCAATATGGTTATCATAACTGTACTGAGAGCAGGATGCTGGCACAAACAGCCAGGAGCGAGACACGCCACAGCCTCGTTAAGAGAAACACGACGTGGACGTTAAGGCTGTTCTGCAGCTGCAGCAACGTATTCTGGATGTCTGCATAAACAGGAGGGCTAACGAGTACGAAGCAGTCCATTTGCTCCCAGGTAGCTATTAGAAATTTGGATTTTCATGTTACATCTAAGAAGTCATTTCTGAGTTACATGCAAATTGAAAGGAAGACTTTTCAACTTGTAGCAGACTCCTTTCTCTGCATAAAGCCTGCATCTTACACCTCACTCATACTCAAAACTAACACCAGCTTCAAACAGGAACCATTCGGTGAAGTCACACACTTACATCACCAGAACAGCTGTTTCTGATCTTAAAATATCTAAATCTACTGGTTTGACTTAAAGTTGTTCTACATGTTGATCATTTTTTTAAAATTTATTTAAGGAACAAACCATCCCTCCATAGTTACAATGGAGTTACGCAACTGGTGAGAAAAGAACAAGGTTGACACACTGGAGGAGACAAGTTATCTGTTGCAGAGTTTCAGGTAAAGGAAGAAATCCTCCCAGCAGACCTTCACATCTAAGGTCTTCTGACAATCTGAAATAGTTCTTACAACTGTCTTGAAACATCATCTATAAAATGACTGTCATGACCCAACACAATGTGTCTTACGATCCTGAAGAGCCATTTATATATGAACAGTAATTAAACCAATTGTCAGAAACTGTTGGGTATTTTAAGCAATAGCTGTATGTTCTGTAAGACTCTGTAAATAACACATTCTGTAAAATTTGAGAAAATATTTCTTCTAAGTAGAAATGTTTTACAGATTAAAAAGACATCTTTTTTCAAAGTTATAAAAATCTATTTTGTTTACAGACTCTGAGATAGCACTGCATATTTTAAGCAATGGCTGGATGTTCTCTAGGAGTGAAGAAATGAAGAGACTAATCCTGCTCACACTTGACCACATGTTTAGTTTTACCCATCTAACTGGTCTGGTTGAATGCAACCTAATTATTGCCATGCTTAAAATTAAGATACACAATGTTAACGTGGGTAGTGTGTATCAAATGAAAACCAAACTGAAAGAAACTAAATAGAATAAGACCACTAAGAACAAACTATTCTTTTGTAGGTTCGCGTGTAATTAACCAGAAGTTGATGGGAAACTGAGGCAGCAAATACCCTTTGCACCTTTCCCATTATCATTTCAACAGAGGTGAAGAAAATTTTAGCAAAATAAATATTTGAACACTTCAGTACAGGCAACTTGATAATTAGTCAAGGACAATTCGTTTACTATTCCAGCTAAAGAAAACTAACTTTCCTTAAAGCTTTCCTTAAAACTAACTTTACTTAAAGCTCATACTGGAAAGTAATACTTGGGTAAAAAGCAGCTCAAAAATTCTTGACTTTTTAGAACTTGCCACAGTTTTATTATCTTTGTAAGAATCAGATCTATGCTAAATCCTTAACTTTGCACCAAGTATTTAATTTCTGATTAGCCTTTATATTAATAAAGGTGGAGATGAAAAAGTTCAAGTTCCACCTGAGGGGAGATTTCTTCAGTGCCAGAACAGAACTGAGGCAGCTATAGGAGTCCGAGTCTTTCGAAGCCACATCTACAATTTCTGGCAGAGGTGGCCTGGACTGGTAGAATACAAGAGCATGCAGTGGTCAAGGTGACCTTAAAGAACCGAAGTGACTGAAATGACTCACTCTAGCTGTTAAGACTGACCTAAGGGATTCCTAGAACTGAGAGGACATACAGGCAGTAAACTAAGTTATGCTTTCCTCCTATCAACACCCAAGAACTCAATGCTGCCCTTCGTACAGCAGCACCACTTCAATTTCCATCATTGCTCAGTAAAAAACTTCTTACTTGAAAACAAACTGCTTTGTCAAGATCTGAGTAAAGACATACAAAATTAAAGCTGCAGGGAGCAGCTTCAGAGATACCCTTTTTTCACTAGCTCTAATTTTGTAGTGTCAGTGACATGAATATTTACCTTCTTCTTCGTCAGGAACCATCAGCCACTGGATCAACGCAAATAGAAGAAGAATCACTAAACAAGCCATCCCTATTCCTCTGAATGTGGCAGCAGGACCTGGAATGAGATTTAATTTTTAGTAAGTTGAGAATCCACTCACTTAATAAAATAAGTCAGCATTATGTGCTCCTTGGGTATGTATTGACCCATGTAGACTCTTACTAGTTTGTTTCATTACATTTTCTTCCTTCAACACTTCTTCAATGAGCTTTGCAAAGGATTTTTAACCAAGTAATTAGATCCTGGTTTGTTCATTGAAAGGCTGCATAATATCAACCTCTTCTGCCACAAAGGATTCATTCATCTTACTTGCAGATCAGGTTGGAGATTTGCTCACACAATACTAAAAAGATCTAGGCATAATCCTATTTCCCCAGTATAAATTGGGGAAAGACCTTTTGGA